TTTCAAAAAAAAAAGTAGATGTTCAGAGAAAAGGGAGAGAAAATCTCTTCCCTTCTTTTCAATCAGGAGAATCAAGTCTCTATTTTTAATTTGTCTCTGTCCATGAGGGCATGAGGTGGTCTCAAGGGCCTAGGCACTTACCAGACAAGGCTGGCCCGTGCCTGCCAGGGCCTCTTCAACTCTGAGACTGTGAGCCTCAAGGATAAGCTTTGGAACCTGTTGATAACAGCACACACACCACAGTCAGGAATGCTGTCAGTCCTAACAAGTAGCGTGAGGACAAAGGATTTGCGGTTCTTATAAAGGAACGAACCCAAGTCAGAAACAAAGATCCACCCACATCTGGGTCCTGGGACCCAGCGGTGGAGGGCAGCGTGGTCTGGAGAACGGGGTGCCAGCCAGGCCCTGTGTCCCGACTTCCGCCTGTCGGTAAGGGCTGGAACAGTCCTTGGCCATCTGGACTTCAGGGTCTTGATTCCAGACAGTGAAGAGAGAGAGAGGATGGCTCGATCCACACCTGCGCCAGCATTTCATGACTGGGTCATCTGTCAGGACGGGTCGGACCGTGGTGCTTCCAGAACCATCAGGGCTGTTCTGCACCAGGTGTGATATCATCACGTGGCTTTGACATAATGAAGCAGGAGCAATAAAATCTGAACTGAAACGCAATAATCACAAGAATGAGTTTATAGCGGGACATCTTAGAAAGCTTTCTACCAGAGAATTCCAAAAAAGTGATGGCAAACTCAGAGGGGACTGTGACCCACCAGCCCTCATCACAACAAGCAGCTGCTCTGTCACAGTCATTCCCAGAAAACACCAGGGTCCCAGGGCACAGTCTGTCCGCTGGGACTGACGTTGGGATGAAAGCATATCACGACAGTGACTGCCCTTACCTTGAGTCAGGCTTTAGTTTTTAAGATGAAAAGAGAGAAGGTATGTATTCCCCCAGCCCCAAGGATATTCAAGAACAGAATACAACAGATTCAATAGCTCCAATAAGTGATTTTTAAATTCTCAGGTATGCACTCTTTGTCAGGATTCTCCAGAGAAATAAAAGACTGATAATAAAGGAAATTTGTGGGCCGGGTGCAGTGGCTCATGCCCATAATCCCAGCACATTTGGGGGCCAAGGCAGGTGGATCACCTGAGGTCAGGAGATCGAGACCAGCCTGGACAACATGGCAAAAACTCATTTCTACTAACAATATGAAAATCAGCCGGGCATGGTGGTGGCTGCCCGTAGTCCCAGCTACTCAGGAGGCTGAGGCAGGGGAATCACTGGAACCAACCCGGGAGGCAGAGTTTGCAGTGAGCCAAGATCGAGCCACCGCACTCCAGCCTGGGTGACAAAAGCAAAACCCTGCCTCAAAAGAAAAGAAAAGAAAGAAAAATAAATTTGTGATGATAAGAAATTGGCTCACACAGTTTTGGAGCTTAAGTCCAACACCACATGCAGGGTGAATGGGCAGGCTGGAGCCCGGGAGCGCCAATCCATAGTTCCAATGTGGGCGGAGTCAAGGCCCAGGGAGAGCCAATGTTTCAGTTCAGGTCCAAAGGCAGCGAAAAACTGATGTTCCAGTTCAAAGGCCGTCCGGCAGCGGGGGTTCTCTCCTCCTCATGGGCAGGGCAGCCCTTCTGCCCTTTTCAGGCCTTCAGCTAATTTCACGAGGTCCATGGCATCCTGCCTGACTCAGTCTATTGATTCAAATATTCATCCAGTTAGATCAGAGGAGGGACCTGCAGAGGCACAGCTGGCAGAGAAGCCATCGGGCTGGACTGTCAGCTGAGAAGTCCAGGGATCTGATTCACTGACAGCCTCACAGACATTCACCCTGGGCTCCACAAACTGCCAGAACCACCCCCACCCCAAGCCCAAAGGCATCCAAACAACAGCCAGTTTATTTCAGATTGACACCGGTCCTAATGAGCAAGTCAGCCCACACGTCCCATGTACTCTGAGCCTCTCCGTTGCTCACCCCAAATAAACTCTGCTGAACCTAGGGGGCCGCAGGGTGTAGAGGAGAGGGAAGATGGGCAGAGGGCAAAAGCGGGTGCTTTGCTCTGCTCCACCCATAGGAGGCTGGTGCACACCGCTGCTTCTGAAGGGCTTCCTGTTTTAATTGCAGTGCTGAGACACGGTGGCTCTCACACCCTCTAATTCTGGCAAAGCCGCCACTGAGAGTAAGGGGAGGTGGGGGACAAGCAAGCTGCCATTTGGGAGTGAAGTTCACGGTGGCTCCTGGCATGCACCAGCTGAGTCTTAGAGGGAGGGATTCCTCCAAGGGGACTAAGACCAGAGGTTTCCACCGTTCCTGCCCTAACCTTCAGGTGAGCAACCTCCCTGGGTTCCTGTGTCCGAGGCATCTCTCAAAAGGAAGGAACTTCACCACCTTTGCCAGGAAGGTCTCCTGATGCCCGAGATGGGCTGCTCACCTGGTGGGAAGCTCTTTAACAAAATCCCAATGAGTGGCCTCCAGCCCCAGGAAAAGCAGCTTAGAATCTCGCCTGGGGGAACCCCAAGGGGCAGCAAGGTTGATAGCCTCAACGCAGTCCAAACACAGTACAGCTCGCCAATGAGGAAGTGAAACCAAAGGGCCCTTGGCCAAGGTTACCCTGTGCAGTGCGCTGAATGGCAGCCCCTCACCACCCCCCACCCCTCCGCAAAAGGTATGTCCAAGTCCTAACTCCAGGTACCTGTGAATGTAAACTGATTCGGAAATAGGGTCTTTCTGCAGATGCAATTTACATGAGATCATCCTGGACTTGGGGTGAACCTAAATCCAATGACTGGTGGCCTTACGAGAGAAAGGAGTGGGAGATTAGAGGTGCCTGGAGGGAAACCCTGAGAAGATCTGGAGACTGGAGTGACCCATCTATAATGAGCCCAGGACGCTGGGAAGCTCCCACCCCAGAGCCTAGAGAGAGAGGCAGGGGAGAGTTTGCCGCTCCCAGCCTCCAGCGGAAACCAGCACTGCCAGCACCTTGATTTCAGACCTGCAGCCTCCGAGCTGCGAGAGAGGGCCAGTCTGCTTCAGCCTCCCAGCTCGTGGTTCCTTCTCTGTACAGCAGCCCCAGGACGTCGGTTAGGGACGCAGCCTCGCTTGCCGTGGGACCCCTCCGTCGGCTCTTCTCACCACCCACTTTTGCCCTCTGCCCATCTCCCCTCTCTTCCACCCCTGCGAGTCCTGCCCCAGTTCCAGCAGTTTATTTGGGGTGAACAAGAGGCGCTCGGTGCATGTGGGGTGCGTGGACTGACTGGCACGTTAGGACGTGTGTCAGTCTGAAATAACCTGGCCATTCTATCAATGCCTTTGGACTTGAGGGGGTTTCTGACAGGTTGTGGAGCCCAAGGTGAATGTCCCCAAGGCTGCTGGTGAACTGACTCAGATCCCTGGTGGTCGTGACTGACAGTCAGCCCCTCCCTAGTTTCTCCAGAGAACCTGCTCCTCTGCCAGCTGCGCCTCTGCAGGCCCCTCCCTTAGATCTAATCCATCCGTCATGCTTTCATCTCACTGAGAAATATCTCCCCCCGCCTCTGGCAGATGAGAGTAGCGCTCGGGGCTGGATGTGTTATCTCACCACATCTGCCTCACTTTCTCCTGCAGAGGCCCGGCGTTGGCACTGGCTGTGGCCGGGCACAGCCCTAACTTGCTTCTTCGTGATCCTTCCCCCACTTTCATTTGGAAACGTTCCCACATTCTCTGCTTCTTGTAACCTCAACCACGGGTAATGTTGAGAAAGGGTCATTTTTGTCCCGAGGCCCTTCTCCCTGTTGGACAGTCCCAGGGCTTGGCACGGCAGCCTTAGCAGGGCAGAGAAGGAAAAGGCCAGGAGCCCAGCCTGGGGTGCCGTCCAGGGTCCCAACCCAGATTCTCTGCCTGCCACGAGTTCACATGGGGAAGGCCTGTTTGTCCTGAGGAAGCCACAGTTAAAGGGCTCACCATGATGCAAATGACAGTGGCCGTCAGTCCCCACTGTCCCGCTGTTGATCTTGCTGATTTTCTGAGACAGAGATGACCTCCGAGCCTCTTGGGTGGAGAGGAAAGCTCCCAAGATCAAAGTCAGGGCCGGTCACTGGGTGCCACTGTGTAGGATTTTGCCCTGGGGACAGAGGAGGAAAATGAAGGCTGAGAAGATGCTGCCTCACCTGCCCCTGAGAGAGCCCAGCAGCCGCATTGCTCCCACAGACCAGTGTTCAAGACCCCACTCCCCGCAGGGCAGGTGCTGGGGCTTGCTGGGGACCTGTGTGGGATCCGAGCACAAGGACAGCCTCCAGCCTGTAACCTGTCGCTGCTTCTTCCTTCCAGAAAAAAAAAAAAAAAAATAGGTGCCTTGCTGGGGCAGGCCCAGCCCTGCAGGTTCAACTTCTAAAGCAGCTCAGGCAGAAGGCAGAAAACAGGAAGTGAGACTTGGGTGGTGGGAGGAGGGTGTGGGCGAGGGGGGCGGGATGCTGATACAGAAAACTCACATTTGAGAAGAATTAAATGTACAAGAAAGGAGAGGGAGAGAGAGAGAGAGGACACCAGCATGACCTCTCCGTGGATGTGCCGGCGTTTCTGTCTGCAGAGCCTGCCCCGACCTGGCCCATGTCCTGCCTGCTGCCGGCCACCCCAGGGCCTTAGCAGGACAGCTCATGGCCTCCAGAAGCCTTAAAGTCTCTTGTGGGATAAATCGTGGCCCTCAAAATGACACGTTGAAGTCCTACCCCTCCAAACATGTGAATGCGATCTTATTTGGGAACAGGGTTTTTGCAGGTGGAGTTAAGATAAGGTCAGGTCGGAGTAGGGTGGGCCCTAAATCTAATACGTCCTTATAAAATGAGAGAAATCTGGACGCAGAAGCACAGAGAAGGGAGCACCATGAGACAGCAGAGGCGGGGGCGGAGGCGGGGGCGGAGGGAGGTGGCTGCAGCCGGGGCACGCCAGGGACCATGGGCCCCCGCACGCGCCAGCACGGGCCAGGAGGGCTCTGCCCAGACAGCTGGCTCTTGGCCTGGCGACCTCCAGAGCTGTGAGGGCGTCAGTGTCGGTTGCTTAAGCTCCCGTTTTCGCTGCTTTATTCCCGGCCTAAGCCGACTCTCACAGAGTCTAATCCCACACCCAACTACGCCCAGACAACAGGGTCCGTGGTACCAAAGCTAGGCATGAAGGGAGAAGGGTCAGCTGGGCCCTTCAGAGAGGCTGGGGCAGGAGCTGTCCTCACCCAGGAGCCCATGTGGAGAACAGGGAGGCCAGAGCACAGGGCGCAAGATGCATTCTCCCCCCGACCCCGCATCACTCCACCCTTCCGGCCACATGCCAGGCCCCCGCCCTGCCCAGCCCCCAGGACAGTGTAGCTGCTGAGAGCTCTGCCTCTCTGGAAGCGGGCATCAAGGCAGGGCACCAGCGAACGTGGCCCCGGTCACCGTCAGTCCCCTGCGCAAGGTACGACCCCTCACAGGGCTATGGTGACCGTGGCCTCCAGATCACTCAGGGTCAGATCAGAAGAGGCTGACTTCAATTTCAGCAGGAATTTAGGTCAGATAACCAGGGCTGTTAAGCCTCAGCCTGCTTTGTCTGAGGCGTTGTGACGAGAAACACCGGTGTTCGGTGAATCTGCCAGGCAGGCAGTGCTCCCCCACCTACCCTGTCCATCCCCATTGGGGCCCTCCAGCCTCCGTGCCTGAGTGACAGCTTCAGAGCAAGGGAGGCTCCTTCCCGAGTGGGTGGTATCAGTGGAAGGTAGACAAGGAGTTCAGCCCTGAGGTGCAAGGACACCGCGCTTGGGGAACAGAGACATCAGGACCCACGGGCCGCTCGGAAGACAAGGAGGAAGAGGGCTGCTCTGGCCTTTGGGACCTTGCAGAGCCAGGTCTAACCCCAGATCCACTGGCATTTGCTTTCTAGATGGCCTTTGGAAGACACCTGGCCTAGCATCTCATCTGCAAATGGAGCAAAAGTACATGCCCACCAGCGGCAACTGAGCCAGCTTGCTCCGAGAGGCCAGAATGCAATCAGTGCCTGGAGAGCCTGGCTTCCTGCTTCCTCCTCAGGAAGATAAGTGCAATAGTGACCCTGAAATCAACCTTCCGTGCTAAGAAGGGCTGTGTCATGTCCACTGCAGCCACTGTCCACGGTCCACTGTCCGTGGGAACTGCTAGCCAGACGGACTCCTCGCCATTGGTGGGCTCTGGGCGTAGGCAGGCAGGCAGTGAAGGCCTGGCCTAGAGGTAGCCCCCAAATGGTCTGGATGGGGGACATTCAACCTGGGCCAGGTCAGGGCTTCCAAGGGGGCCCAGCAGTAGCTGGCCAGTGTTGAGGCAAGCAGGTGACAGCATGATGGGCAGGACAGTGTGGGTCACAACAACATAAGGCCACAGACACGGGATTGGGGGTGGGGACCAGGCAGCTGGGAAGGTCCTGGCCTCGGAAAGGCAGGGCTGACTCCAGGCCCAGAAACTCCTGACCCTGGGACAAAAAATGGCAAGAGCCATCCCCGGGGCAGTGAACCACTGAACATTTGACCAGAACCAGAACTCAGGAGAGGCAAAGCTGAGTGGCAGCAACTAATCCAGGGCCCACGTCAGCCTGGGGTCAGAGGCCAAGTTCAAGCAATACAATCAGGGCTCGGCCTAGGAGGATGCTAGGCCACAAATCAGCATCAAGACAAAAGGAGAGAGCAAATATTGACCCAATCAGTGCCAGCTCAAACACTCATGCCTCCCTGCTGCCTTCCAGTCCTCGGCTCACCGCCATCCCACTCCCCGACACCCAAAACAGAGCTTCACTGTCACCTCTCTCGGGTCATCGGTCCCTTTCCTCTGTGTGACAATGTGAGTGAGGGTCTCCCCTGCCCTGATAGGTGATGGGCAGCACAAAGGGAGGAGTCAGGGCTGGGTGCAGTGCCTCATGCCTGTAATCCCAGCACTTTAGGAGGCTGAGGCAGGAGGATCACTTCACACCAAGACCTAGAGACCAGCCTGGGCAACATAGTGAGACCCCTGTCTCTACAAAACAGTGCAAAAGAAAAAATGTGCCAGGCGTGGTGGTGTGTGCCGGGAGACCCAGCTGCTCAGGAGGCTGAGGCAGTAGGATCGCTTGAGCCCAGGAGATCTAGCCTACTGAGCCACGTTCAGGCCACTGCACTCCAGCCTGGGCAGCAGAACAAGACCCTGTCTCAACAACAAAAACAAAACAAAGCAAACTCAAAAGGAAGAATCAGGACCCAAGACTACTTCCCCCGGGGCCAGCCCAGGACTGGCATACAGTAGGTACTCAATACGTGCTTGTTAAATGGCCTGGGGTCAGCCCGCATGCACACTGGGGAAGGCCAGGAAGAAGCAGGCAGAAGAGGGCTCCCCACAGCCACTTGTGGTTCCCACTTCCCGGGTGTGCATCTTCTTTTAAGGACCTCTCCACGGTCTCGCAGAACCACAGCTGCGTTTCCCAGAACAGCAGTGATCAGCGGGAAAACACTGCATTCTGACATTCAAGCCTCAGACGGGTCACATGTTCTTCCCACGGAGATCACAAGCCAGGGAAGTCACTTTTTCAGCAGCTCTTTTCATCTACCTCCTGCCGAGAGAATCCGGGAGTGACAGGAAGTCACTCCCAGCTGAGAAACTGGTGCCCTGTGATCCCTTTGGTCTTGGGAATATATTTAAATGCCATGTGACGATATAGTTAAAATTCTTAGAAGGGTGGTGGCTCCCTCTAAAGTTGGCCATTTGACAAACCGCTAACCTAGAAGAAGACTCTCACTATTGCTCCGTAAAGATGAAGGGGGCTCAGGAGCTGACGGCCCCCCCACTTCATCCTCCCGGCTTCTCCACCTCTCCAGGCACGCAGAATGCTCGGGCGTTCCGAGAACCATGACGCAGGGCGGGCACTGCACGGGGGCTCTTTCCCAGCAGGTAGGAAGACCCACTGGAAAATCCTGGCCAGGAATTCAAACGCGTGACCCAGACATCAAGGCTGCAGAAACCGCTGCCCGAAACCCAGGCGAGGCGATGCGGTCTCGACATGCTGGCCGGCGGGCGGGGCGGTGCCATCACCCGGGGGGTTTGTGGGTCCTAAAAACTTGGAGTTTCCTTCTAGATGAGTAACTTCTTTTCCATTTTCCAAAGGCTAGGAGGTTTTTGTTAAGAAATACATTTGGAGTGATGTCAGGGAAAACATACCCTTCCCCCAAAACCCCAGAGAATGTGAAGAAAGTCCGTCTGCTGGCCTTTCCTGGAGAAGGACGGGTGCGGGCCCGGGGCCGGCATTTGCTTGTGAATGAGGGAGTGTTTACCGAGCAGTGTTCGGGAGTTTCAGGCGCGTGTAAATAAAAGACAGCCGGATGAGAAAACCCAAGTGGAAAGACCGGCTTGGAACGTCTCTCTGACTGATGGTGGAGCCATGGGGAGCGTTTTTCCATCCCAGACGGAAAAAGAGAAAGCATTTCCAGCAAGACTTCCAGGGAGTCTGCAGAACTCGTTAGGGAGGGGTGATCTCCGCAGTGTCTCGGGAAACCACCCCGTGTAAGGGTCTCAGCAGTGTCCGAAGGGAAGACCGAGTTGTCGGGGTGGGGGGGCCGCACCCTGAGAAGGAAGAGATAACAAAGACATGTTTGAATCGTGTCTCCTCAAAATTCATGTCCACCCAGAATCTGCGAGTGGGACTTTCTTTGGAAGGGCCGTTGCAGTGGGAGGATGGAGCTGGGATCGTCCTGGCCCAGCACTGCCCCTAATCCAGGGAGAGCGTCCTTCTAAGCGACTGCAAAGGACTCCGAGGAGGCAGCGGTTGGAGACCTGTGGCTGAGAGCCAAGGCGCCCCACGGTCTGCCTGGGACACCGGCAGCTGGAAGATGCTAGGGGGGTGTCTCCAGAGGAGGTACACTCCTACCGAGAATGAGATCTGTTTGCTCACGAATGCCGACGCCTCTGGATGCTAGACGGGGTACAGATTTTTAATGGGGTTTGCCCTCAAGATTGCCCAAACTATTTTTAGAAAATCAGCTGAGGACACTGTGGCGCTAGCTGGTGGTGAGGACGGAGGTTGGAACTCAGGTGTTCTGAAGCCCCAACCTGACCTACAAGTTGAGGCGGCTCCTTCTTGTTTGGCCTATCCTTGCCATGGTCTGTTAGACAAAGTGGAAGGACAGCACTTAGCCAATTCCAGCAGAGCTAGGTGGCCCAGGGGTCGGGAACAGGACCAGAGATACCCGCCGAGTTCAGCCGGCCGTGTGACCTGCACGACCTCCACATCCACCTGCCAAGGCTGGCTGCCTTCAGAACCAAACCCACGGATGTAAGAGGCAAAACTATTTCAACTCTCCTTTCATCCATTTTTATAAAGTAGAAATGAAATGGCCTTTTGCCCATCCAATCTGTCCTCTTGGAAATAAGCTTTCTTGGAAGAAAGAAATACAGGGAGGGAAGCACCGAGAGTGATGGCGGCTCCTGGAGGTCAGGCCACCTCCCTGCACTTCAGTTCTGTTCCTCACACTCAGCACCCCACATCCCCCCTACCTTTAATCCTGGCCCAAGTCTGGGTCTTGGTCCTACAGACAGCTCCCAGCCCGTGTCTTGGAGTTCCAGCAGAGAATTTCTGTGACTTTGCCCTCCTACTGTATCCCATCTATTACTGAGAACCCCCCAAAATGACACCCTCTGACCACCTGCAGCCCAAAACCCCAGTGACTCAGAAGAGGGGAGCAGGGTGCACCCCTCCTACCGCGGCATCTGGCCTGCTCAGCCCTGCCTTCCTCATGTATAGAAAGTCCCGGGGACTGAGGCCCTGCTCGACTTCCTGCTCCAGCACATTTTGGGGTTGTGCTTGTGATATAATGGACACCCTCTGCTCAGAAGCAGACAGGGGGAGACCCCAGATGGGCCGTGAAGTAGGCACTAAGGTGTCACTCCACTGTTTTTGGAAGGGGTCCTCCTTCCTCCTCTCCCTGCTATTCCATGGTCTCTGGTTGCCAGGCTCACAATGCCCACCCACCCCATTGTTCTTTCCACCCAGGGAGCCAGAACCACCTACATGTGTGTGTGGAGCCAGGTGGGGGCAGAGCAAGGCTTGGTTGGCCGTCTGCAGCCTGTCATGCCGCCTGTTCACCTGAAGGCCACTCCTAAGCCTCTGTCCACTCTGGTTAACGCTGCTGACAGGTCCTCCTCCCCGTGGATCTGGCTACACCCCTGATTCACATCACACAGGGAGAGGAAAGCCTGGTGAACCCTGATACGCTGCAGAAGTGGGTGGGGTTGCAGTCAAGTCAGTCTGTGCCCACTTATAGGACTAGCTCCCCTAGAGAAGACCCAAGGCAAGCGTGATGACAGGCCACAAAGTGTTTGGAGGTCTGCCGTAGGATAGAAACTCATGTTTATTTGGTAGAGTCAAAAATTAAACAAGGGAGCAAAGAAGTTCCTCCCAGGTGGGTTTTGCTCAGACAGGAAACGTTTTTCGTGGCCAGAAGTGAGTGGCAACAGGTCCTCCAGCAGTGACAAGCTACCTGACCTGGAGCATTCACATAGACCAAAGGCTGAGGGGTTCCAGGAGCTGGAGCAACAGGCCAGGCTCGGAGCATGGTGAAGGCCTTGCTGGGCAGCAGGGGTATACTCTGCTACGTGAGAGTGGTCCCTGAAGGGAGAAGTGAGTTTGTCCAAGGAGCAGGAGGGAAGCTTCAGCAACAGTATATGCTGAACTTGGATGGTTCAAGAACGTTCAAAGGCCAGAGCCATCCTCATGCGGCCACTTATGCCTTCAGGAAGGAGGGGTGGTGTGGGCCCAGATGGGATCTGAGAGAGAGGCTGGGCCTGTTTGAACATCGCACACCCCCACTCCTGCTGGAGAAGGGAGTAAAGGTGGGCTGAGGCATTCCCAGACTCAGTGTCCACAGCTCCATCCATCTGGAAGGCTTTGGGCCAAAGCCATAAGAGCAGGGCCAGGGAGCCAGCCCGGGACGACTGAAAGCGCAGCGAGTTCTCTGTCCGAGCCTCCGAGGGTCCTCTGCCTGGTCCTTCTCTGTGCCACAGACAGGAGTGGTCATCTCTTAGAGGTTTTCTAAGGGCTGAGTGAGTGACAGAGGCAAGGAGTTTCTGTAAAAGCCTCCAACACTGAGGAGGTATTGGAATAACTGCCAGGGGGGCTGTTGAGTCCCAGCGGGAAGCCAGGATCTTAGTCCACCGGGGCTGAGACCTTTGCTCATCAACTCTGCAACCTCAGGTGATGACGCTTCGTGGGCTTCAGTTTATCTGCCTGTGAGGAACTGACACACTAGGTAAAGTGGGGCTACTAGGAGGCACTGAGCAGGTTAGTCCTTGTTCCTACATCCCCAGGGCAAGTCTTCCTCCCGAGACAGGTGATCCAGTGATAAGCTCGTTCATACCTAGACGCGAACAGCTGACCCCTGATCCTTCCCTGAAAATGATGGAAGAGGGTTGGGCGCAGTCGCTCACGCCTGTAGCCCCAACACTTTGGGAGACCAAGGCAGGTGGATTGCTTGAGCTCAGGAGTTCCAGACCAGCCTGGGCAACATGATGAAACCTCGTCTGTTGAAAAAAATCAAAAAAATTAGCCGAGTGTGGTGGCAGGTACCTGGAGTCCCAGCTACTTGGGAGGCTTAGGTGGGAGGATCAGCTGAGCCCAGGAGGCTGAGCCTGCAGTGAGCTGTGATGGCACGACTGCACTCCAGCCTGGGTGACAGAGTGAGACCCTGTCTCCAACAAAACAGAACAATGGAAGAGAGGACAAACCAACTTCCCAAATTCCTGGTGTCTAAGAGCACAGCAGGGCCAGTGGGGCAGCCAGCAGTGGTAAGAATAAATTTTAGATTTTCCACACAACTTTTGGAGAACTGGCTCTTGGTTTACCGATTTGAATTTGGATACATTTTAACAGACTTCAGATGGATGGAAACACAGCAGATGAGGTCGAACTTTCTGGAAGGTTACCGATGTTACGATAATGGCTGACATCTGTAAAAGACTTGAATGTGCGTCCGTGGAGCAGCCGGAACACACGCATTGCTGGTGGATATAGAGAGCTGCAACCCCTGGAAAAGGGTCTGGGAGTCTCTTACAAAACAGAAAACACGCCTACCCCAGACCCAACCATTTCAATCCTGTATTTACTCAAGATAGAGGAAAATTTATGTCCACAAAAATATTTGGTCACACCAGTTTTATGAATAATAGCCTAAACCCAGAAGCAGCCCATGAAGAAGAGAATGTAAAAACAAATTATGATATCTTCTTAAAATGGAATACCGCTCACTAACAAAAAGAAATGAATTCTCAGAGCATCACAAATGACACAAACACGGCACAAAACACACTGACTGGAAGAAGCCAGATAGAACTGACGATGTACAACACGACCCCCTTTCTATAAAGTTCTAGAACAGGCAAAACAAATCTATGGCGAAGAAAACCTGGGAGCAGCGCTTCCTTCTGAAGAATGAAGGGGGTATTGCTTGGAAAGGGTACTAGAGAACTTTCTAGGATTCTGGGGATGCTGAGCCTTGAAGGAAGTTATGCATTTGTCAGAACTCAGTGGATGTACACTTAGCACCTGCACATTACACTGTATCTACATTGTACCTCAAAAAAGGGCTGTGAACACATATGAAGCTCTAATTAATGATATGCCAGGTGAAATATTTAGGAAATGGAGTTCCGCAAGCCGCTTTGAACATGGGATGCATTAAACACAGGATGCCACGGGTGATGGATGAGAGCTAACGGGCGGGTAGATACGCGGTAAAGGACCGCAAGTGTTCACGGTAGAACCCGGAGTGTCTAGTTATGATTGTTTCCATTTTTCTGTGCGTTTGGAAATTTTTGTAATACAGTGTTTAAGATAACATTTTGCTCCTGGGAAGTGCCTTTGCTCCCCGGTCAAGGGCAGGGAGCCCTCAGCAGGGAGAGTG